GACTTATTGATGAATATGAACCAGAATGTTAGTTTTGTGCTAAAGGCTTTTGCTTTTAAAGATTCCCAGCATTTTATGACTGAAATGAACCACCGTAGGTAATAATATTTTATACAGGTATGCTATTTGAAGTTAATTATCCGCTTAACAGTTTTTATATAGGCGTATATGTGTGCACTTCTTATCCTACTGTTATATGTATGTAACTTATGTTTGTGACTCTAAATATCGGTTCACGCTTGGTTAAATCGAGCTGGCTCACGCGCCTTCCCCACCGTGCACAATTCCGCTCACTTTTCTTTGTTTCTCCACTCGTTTGTTTGGATCAACGATTGTATGAAATATGTCAATTCGAAATCCATTCTCGTACTCGACTTATTTAATTCAGTTATTCACTAACGCAAGTTAAGTCGATAATTTTATACGAGGATTGGCGATGTCTATTTCGATAGCAATCAACATACGATCAAATTGGAGTCAGATATTCAGGGCCACTAAAGGACTACTCAGCAGTGCAAACACAGTTCCATCATATTCGTTATATTTGTACTAGTTGACTGAGAATAAATGAATTAAGAACTAGAATACTGATATTCATGAATGTATATGTAAGTACTTGAATTGACTTGCTTGTACGGCAGTAAGAAACAATCGAAGTAAAGTATGACTGAGTGTACACAAATGGACTGGGGAAATAGTACTATTTGGGTAACATCATGATTAGACCTCTTTTCAATTTGCTTGAATGTCACTAGCATTTAGAATCACCAGCAACTGTACTACAGTGGAAATAATGAATTGAATTGTAGTAATGCATTTGACAGTTACATGACCAATACGATATTATACACAGAAATGAAAATAAATTTGTGCACGTGTGTCTGTATTATACACCATAGTTTTTCTGATAACAACGTTGCAATGTTTACTTCTAAACACATTGTTTCACTACACAGTACGTTATTTCCCATTCTATAAAAAGGTATTCCGTGGGATCATGTTATGTCCTCTGGAAAGCTCAATATACTAATGCAACTGCATCTTTTGCTCTTGCTTGACAGACATTGACCAAAATATTGCAAAAATATTTAGTAATATTGTAGTGAACGAGAACACTAATGAATGCAATCGAACGTCCTTGAACACAAAATTACAGAATATTTAAGTAAAATCTGAGAACCATACAGTAAATTCTTCATTTGCAAAATGTCCCAGACATTACTATTCCTTTGTTTTCACACCAACCACTCTATATTCTCTTTTATTTGATCTTCTTAACCTTCCGCCGTCAGACATTACACTTCCGATTGATGGTGCATACAACTTATATCTGTTGACATCAGTAGCACACACCACAATATGACGTCTATCTCGGGGATTAAAGCGGATAAACTACTTTTAAACAAGGTTACGCATTTTCTATCCACTGAAGGCGTTATTAAACTGTCAGAGTCATCCTACACAGCAACAATCTGAGTCGTTACATACTACGACGCAGATGTAGTGTAATATGAATTCTCAGTATAACAAATTATCCAGATAACGTTAACACTAAGTAACATGAATTTCACTGTCTCCGAATAGTTTTACTATACACTATAAGCTTGTCATATATGGCATCACATAAATGTCATAATCATCCATGCGCGTTATTAATACCTTCCCACATTGTTGGTAATATGAAAATCAGTAATTAGGGATTATTGAACATTGTTAATACAAAACGTACTCTCGATCGCACATAATCGTGAAACATGTTCATATGATTCAGTTTTCTAGATGGTCGTCTGAGTATCTGTATAGCTAAGGTAAACACACATTTTATTAGTAAAAACAATTAGCTATACAAGCACGTTGTACTGGAATCGGTTGCTGAATGACATTCTTACTAAGATAGGTCACAGGTAAACAAACTGCTTTATATGTAGACGTCATTATTATTAGCTTTCTTCAATATTAAATTTTTAGTCTAACATAGAATTCTCGGCGCAAATTATTTCAAAGTGTTCACCAGTCAGATTCTAATAGTTCAGAAAACATCTGAATGATGTGCATTCTTCTCGATGGATATTGCCAGCAACTACGATGTGTCTGATTGAGCTTTTTGTAACTTGTACAGTCTGAATTCGTAAAATCTTCACAAACGCACCTGAATAGGTCATGTGATTAGTAGACATGATCTGTTCAAAAAACCGATGACTTTTTGAATTATCTTGATGCCAGAAACAGGTAGTAGATATTCAAGCAGGCCGACGTCATGAGTACATGTCATCCGCAGTTTTTAGAATTATGATTTCCTTTAGTTGAAAGGCAGAGCAAAAGCATGCGATACACATGGCTATATATCGTTCGGCGTTTTCTGTAAGATACAGGTCTCCTAAAGGCACACATATTAGCAAGTTAGGCTAGCCTAAAAACACGCCACCGACGTGAGGCAGTTCAAGTATGGGATGACCGCCTTTAGGTACACCGCTCAAGGTCGCTGAACCGGAGGGGTAATTTGAATTTCAAGCTAGCTTTTGTCCTATTTATAAGCATGTTTTGGTTAAATAAGTATTTAGAGCACAACGCGTCTTTTATATACAAAGATGAACTACAAATACAGATTTTAAGTAATTTTTAAATTCAAGTGCATTTTTTGGCAGAACTATGTTAAAAAAGCTAATTAAGTACAGAATAATAAAATAACATACTTCTCTATAATTTATTGTTCAGATGAAGTTCTAATATACATAAAGATAACTAATTAACTTTACACTCAAATCACTTATACATTTTATTGCGTTATTCTAGTACACAATGTGTGTTATGGGAACATTTTAATGTAGAGTTGAGGTGTAAATACTCGAAAAATTTAATAAAAATAGACCTTATAACTATCATAACTTGTTATTCCCATTCGCTACAAAGCTCATAAGACTGTTCCACTAGCACTAAATTTTCATTGCGTAACATGTTAGACATAAAAATATCTCCTTGCATGAATCACTTTTCATCAAGTTATAAACAAGCTGAAGCATATACTTATTACTGCAGTGCTTTCGGTTAGATTTCACCATATTTAAAATCTTAGTAAGTGCATGGACCGAATCGCGACATTAAGGATCACCGTTGAACAATCAGTGGGATTGAATTCGTTACTATACACAAACTTCTTTGATTATGAGAAAGCGCTGACAATGTTAACTTAATCAAAATAGATATGCAAAATTAAAGCGAACTAAATGACAGGCGAGGTTAATACCACGAGAAACATAATAGATTCCGTTTATTTCTCTCAGAAATATGGACGATTCAAGTCGATTGAGACCTATCGAAGCTGGAACTTAAATATATGCCAAGACAATCTTTGTTTGCAAAAATAATTTTCTATGATAGATGTATGGATTAAGTGCCAAATTACGGATAGAAAATATAAAAAATAAGTTACAAACCTATATAGTCAAATAGCATCTATCTTTAAAAATACAGAAATTCCAAGTGGCATAATACCCAAAAATTTAAATATTAAGCACCAAGCTGTCACACATCCTATATCACATAGTAATTAAGCGAGTTCATCGAAGGATTTGAGCACATTTTCAAACTTATGCAGACTTGAACTATTTTGCATAATTTTAAGAGGCATTACACATTGATAGAGAAATATGGAATTAATCATAAGTCAATTTTTTGGGCAGAATAAAAGTACTGACAAAATTCAGGAATCAAGGATAATACATAATTGTCAGATAAGACCGTCATTTCTTGACGGTCTGATGGAAGCTAATACTAAATCAGGTGGCCAACTGTTGGTGAATAAAGAATCGATAGAACGCTAAAGTAAATAGGCATGCTTAGTGTCTAACTTCAATCGATTCATGATTTTGCGCAACCCTTCATCAATTGTCTGAGGTGGATAACTATCACCATCCGACACAGATGGGACTCCACTGGTCACGGCTTCCCACTAGAACTGGACATTAGCACCGTTGGATACCAGCTCAGTGGTCTAGACGTTAAGCATTCGCACGCGAGACCGAAAGCCCTAGATTCGAGTCCCGCGTGCGGGATCGTGGATGCGCACTGCTCAGGAGTCCCATACTTGGAAGAAACGGCCGTCTAGTGCTTCGAGGTTTTCAATGTTTGTCTAGTTTAGATCGACTAAAAAATCCAACTATTAAAATTGCTACAATGTCCACAAATCCTCATTCCGATAAAGAATAATTCACGAGAAATCTATCATCTAGCCATCAGTGGTCAAAAGCAAAAACATTCAAATGATTTGTTTAGATACTATCGAATAACCTAGGTAAGCAAGACAGAACTACATTAATATTATTGTGGAATAATCCGCAAGATTCATTCAGCTGAGGAAAATCAAAATGATGGTAATCCTGAACAAAGCAATTCTGTTCAAGTTTGATATATGGGCTATAATTTAGTATCATACTTTGCAATGCTAACCGACAGACAGGCAAAACAAACTAGCACCTGGAAAAAACGTTACCAGTATAATGGAGTCTCACAAGAAAGAATAGGTTGTGTCAAAATAAAAAATGACATTATGTTCAAAAGCTAGATGTCAAAGAAGAGAATCGTCAGCTTCAGTGCAACCAATTTCGAAGAAATCAATGTTTTCACATAAGAATTTATAAAAATTCCTTGGAACTACAATACATAAAAACCAAAACTTTAACCTACGTAAGAACCAACTCCTCATAACTATGTCAATAATTTGATTATGATCAAGAATCAGGAAACTGCTTAAATTCCTATTGTTACGTCTTTCCGAAACAAAAGTTATGACATGTGTATGAACATAGAAGTAGAATTATAAGAATGTTTGAGACTAAAATCTTTTTTATAAGTAAATTAACAGTATAAATATATGTCGACAAAAAAGTCAAGAGATCGTGCTGTTCCGTTTGGCAATGAATGCTTATACCCAAGTAATCAGTGAAATAGACAAGATACAACAAGCTTTTGAGGTGTAAGTGCTTTCTATTGAGGAGTTAGCTCTAATTCCATGCGTTGAAGCCCATAATTTTCTGTAACTGTGAGTCAACTGATGCCTAGTAGAGATAAAGAAAACTTATTCCCAGCAAAAGAAACCATACCATTTGAGAAAGAGCATCGCTTAATTGTTTTTCAGCTTTTGTGGTATCCTAAAATGAAATATATTGTACAAAATTCCCAATCCTACGATATCAATCCCCATGTACTGATCTACACGATTAGATAATATTGCCTTTCGTTCTTTGATTTCCTCAATTTCCTAATAAGAAGGACTGGTAAAGTGAATAGACAAATAGAACACACTTTCTTCCATGACATCAGAAGGCGCTGATCAGGTGCTTTTTCAACGGATGACAATAACTCCTATCAGTAACAAAAATGTCCAATTAGTAAAGCAACTTACACTTAATTGACGATCTGATTCACTAAGGGATTTCGATAAATTTAAATACTTTTCTTTAATATGCTGCATGGAACGCATATCTGACAGCACGCTTTCTTGAGAGAGACGCCAATCACTAGAAAACCTATGAAGAACAAAATAATACATTCAGTTTGAAATTACGATTTATTTGTTTTCGAAACACGAAATCAATCTGAAGGTAGTAATTACAAAATTCACTATAATTTCAAACATTGCCCGGTCTTTTTCATGAGTGTTTTTCCATATGGCGTTTTCATGAACATATACGAATGCTATTAACTAAGTATGTTTTTATGTTTAAAATGATATACTTAGTTACGAAACAAGAAAATGTTCATTGCATGATCCCTCAATGGGACGAATTAGTCCAGTAACATAATTATGATATTAGATAATTAAACGTACTTCATAAAAAACAAAGAGCAGAAATAATGAATAAAAACCTAGAAATTTACAGAAACATAGGATGACCAGCCTTGCTATCTGATTAATATTACAGTGAATATGGTCAACAAAAAATAACTATTATATAATACCTTAAGATTACACACACTTGTATAAAAAAGTTTTTCTTCAATCAAAAAATCAGACAACCATGTAACGCAACAGTTACGGGTGGTTAGCGCAAAAAGATATGATACCGGAAATACTTATAAAAACGGACACAATAATCTACCAATGTAGCTAATCATAGTAAATTCAACAATCTTACATGGGTAACATTTAATTAGAAGACGAAATTCAAGAAGCAAATTATGTGGGTAACCAAAGACTATGGTGGGGATTCGTACAATGCAAGCTGGAGAGAAAGTATTACAATCGGGGAGAGGTGTTGCTGTACCCCGGTCATGAAGAAGAAAATGCTTTGCACACACAAGGAGTTGCACTGATGCTCTACAGAGAAGCATGAAAACCACTTATAAGATGGGAATCTCATGAGTCCAGAATCATCAAAGCAACCTTCAGAACAAAGAATATTATCCAGTATTATGCATCCACCAATAATAATAACGACGACGATAAAGACTAGTGCTGTGGGAGGGAACAAATCAACTTCCAGCTGAAGAAGCAATTAGGAAAAGACGCTCAAGGTGGGTAAGATATACATTGCGGAAATCCTCAGACTGCACTGACTTGGAATCCTAACGGTAACAGGCAAATCAGGAAAACCAAAGAACATATTGCGTCGGGAATTGGAGACAGGTATAAAAAAATGAATGGCGATTGGAAACAGCTGGAAGGGAGAGAACAAGACAGAATTGGTTGGAGAATCCTGGTCGGAAGCTTATCCCCCCCCCACGGAAGGGGATACAGGAGTAATTTCTACGTTATGATTGACTGAATTCGTGCTACTCAAGCGTAATAAGATACTGAGTTCATCAAAGTGTCCAGCTTTTTTCAAATTTATCTACTATTCCACCCATCGAGACTTTGGTTGGTGTAAACAAGACTGACTCTATTCTTTAGGTGAGCTGTATTACTTAATTTCCCCCCTTAAACGTGATGTCTATGAAGTCTATATATTGATAGTTATCGGTTAGCAAGACTCGTAGTAGCAGTTTAAAAATATTAGCAAAAAATTTGAGATCCATCCCCTAAACATAACTTAGAGTAGTGAGTTTGTGAAAGAAATCGCAATTTAGGACAACCCAGAGTAAAAAATCAGTCTATGCCAGTCCAAACAGGAAACCTAGAGAATACGTACTTAACAAATACTTTTGTTGGGAAAGTCCAATCGATAGATTTTGATTGAGATCTGAGAACTACGAGTAACAATATTTATTGACCATGAAGGATTTAAATGAACTTAGGACCTTCTTGTTTAGTTGAATTACAATGATTCTTACTTTTTATAAGCGCTTGGATAATCAACAATCTAAATCAAGCTAAAGAAATCCTGCTTGCTTTACAGATTTCAATTAAAACAATAATCACGTAAACCCGTATTTCTCGTGACGCGTAATAATTAGCCGGAACGAATTAGCTGATATCCACTGAGGTTTATTGATGTTTAAGGAGAAAGAATGTAGTTGTAAAATCTCAGCGAATGAATTTGAAGTAAATCCAATGTTCCGCTTGGCACTCTGCTCCAAACTTTTTCAAAGAAAGATAATCAAACACCAAAATTACCGAATATGAATAAGTTCTCTTGTTGACTGTTTATTAAACAGGTCATCCAATCCCATCCATAGTAACGTTGGATTTACTTCAAATTCTTCGCGAAATTTTACAAATACATTCTTCCTCCCTAATGTTTAACATGAACTCAGCGTCCAAATACTGTGAAACTATTCGGTCAAATTTAGACGAACATACTGACTTGACATGTAAATTGAATTCAGCAGTTAATATCAGTTATTAGCTAATATGACTTCAAAAATCATATAAAAAGGGTTAAATGTAGCTCTGAACAAAACAGATATCCACGATGTCCATTGACAAAAGACGCTTGAAGGTTTGGAAATAAGGATAATTGAGATATAATAAAACTTAGTTGTACTAGATATTTCTCAAATTAACGGGTTATTTTACGCAAAATAATCTACCTTATTAAATTCCTTTCCATCGCATCGACCTCCATAATAATTGTCCTTAATGAATTGTATGAATTCTCTAAAAAGGTAACCAAAGTTTCTAAATTATCCTGGTATTCTTTGGATGCAAGAACACGATTTTTGATGCTGGATAATATATACGGAACAAACAGATACCTGTGGATAGAACAACTACGACAATCGATTGCTGAAAGTCGCAATGCTAATTGGTTTACTTTGTGACGGATGTCATTGTTAGGTTTAGAACCCAGTCTAGCGTGGAACCTATCCAACAGCGTTGAGAGGCGAGTTTCTGGAATGGCAGCATAGATATTTCAAAAACTACAAACCATCAGTAGAAAATTCATCTCTAACTTTCTTTTCCATCAAGTCAATGACCTCGTGAGAGTTTCTGTGGATCGCTTTGAATTCATCATCAGAAGCATCCAGCACATTTTTAAATTTATAGAATAATCCCCCATGAATGTATTTTGGATTCTGAAAGGGGTATAAAATAGTGAGCATGTACCTCGTGATCAGATTCCCGCCGCATTTCCAAGGAACGAATTCAAACCTTTTAAAACAGATGCTGATAGTTCGTAGTCGAAATGGATTCAAGGATACCTGACGATAACCAAACTAGAGAAAATAGGAAGCAGACTGATCAGAAAACAATGTGAGCGGATAAACATGATAACCCTAAAACAGACTAAACAAATTTCGAAAACACTTGTAGGGGACTTAAGTAACCGGAAGCAAATACTCCAACTGGGCATTATAATTCATGGGAAAACCGAACGTCAAAGTTGACAGCACCATTGGTGCTCTCACAGAAAGCGACGGGCTTAACAGGAAACTTGGTTAATAAACATTGATGGTATGTAATCGCGTATTCTTATGGACCGTTGAGAATGTCATACTCAGATTCCTATCAAAATATAAACGCCTCACGTAATTGAGCAAGTAAAGTGATCGAGGGACTTTTGTCACTATCAACTAAAAAGTGGGAACAATTTGCTTTAAAATAGTTGAAATTAATAGAAATATCTACCATGCAAGCGAAAAGCGAATTTGAGATAGTCCTTAAGCTAACTTGAAGAACATATGTGCTCCTAACGCAGATTGCTTATTAAAGTACTTGATTTAAGTCAATGAGTAATCAAGTGTTCACCGAAGATGGATAACATTCTCCTCTTCTAAACCATACCTTACACCAACCAAAGTTTGATAGTTGTAAAAAGGATAAAGGAGAACTACTGCACTAGAGATGACGTCAGTTCGTGATGAAAACCTTGACTTCGTTTTGCAACAAAATTTCAGAACACCAGCACCTCTAAACACCCAGATCTATGCTTCCTGCATAAGGACTAGTATCATTTTGTGGCAAAAACCACATGGAGTGATAGCCCTAAATCACAACACTAACCCGACTGCTAATAGGTAAACTTGATCTTAATCATTTAATATGTATTGTTGTACATTAGATAAATAGACATATGGGTTAATGATAAAAAACGCTTACTAATCCGTTGCAGTTTTATTGCTTTATAATGCAAATTGTTTTATAACTAGGCCGACAAGTCACCTGACGTTTTCTGTGGAGTATGCCTTTACCAAGTTTTCGATGAGACTATAACTTATGGACGACCTTAAGGCGACGCCACAGTGACCCTGAGAATGTTCACTCACTCACTAGGAATTAATGTTGGTTATAAGGCAGTGTGGAGAATTAGAATTTCGATTTACAGTTGACGGATAGGGTTAGACTTCGATTTAGTTTTCATCACAAACTGAAATCAGCCAAAGTGCCAAGACGCCGTGAATGCAAATGGGTAAATGAATTTTGCGGCCAAATCCAAGATCTGTTATCTTAAACCTGATTGGTTTGCCCATAAATTATAGTCCCACCGAATTTGATGAGGAACTATAAGTAACCTACAGGTGACGTAGTAAACTGAGGATTATTCTTGAAAAAATATAGGAATTTGAGTATGTTAAAAATTCAAAATTGTTTTGGGCAAAGATCGTCAAACTTATTCGACAAGACCCCACATCGACTACTTTGAGACACAATTCATGATGGGCGGCTAAATGCACAAGGCCCAAACAGCGAATAAGACAAACAATAATACGCATGCCTAGTCAGAGGAATAGAAAACTGTTATAGAGGGAATGAAAGAAAGCGTTTTCAAATTAAAGTTAGTTTTTAGCATTATTGAGTTATGTATACTTCTGGACTGAGGTTAAGATAAATAAAAGGAAACCCATAACCCAATCAACCAACAGAGGGGAAATAAAGGTGAACAAAGGGGAATTGAAGTGGATAATACGTTGGAAAATAAAGAGGAGATAAGCGGGAAACTCGCCAAAATGTCTGCTTTTTCGCCTATCCGAGTAAGATGATGGGGATTTCCCACTTTTTATCGCTCTGTCGTTCATATGTCGCTGAATTGTCTACTTTTCCCCAACTTTTAAAACACCATTGGCATAACCACAAAGGTCTCCTATGTTTGCCTCTATCCCCACAACAAAACACACTAAAACTGCAATCCACGGGAAAAATGGTATATGTTTAAATAAATTTATTGAAAGGGAGAGGAGTATTATTGTGCAACATTATAGCAGAAGCTTGAGCATAAATCGTTATTCGTTTTCATAATAACTGCCAATTTATTGGTATTTGAAAAGATCTGCAAAAGAATAAACAGTTGATGTATTATTAATATGGTATGTGTATTTAAGTTCACTGACAATCGAACACACCTCAACACTTAAATAGTTTCCCTTGTAAGAAAGAAAGTAAGCTCATTTACGAAATAATGTTTATTGAAAAATAAGTAGAACATAAAAAACATTTCGCGGTTTACATCCTTTAGCCACGCATGTTCGGCCATTGAAAATGAAAGTAATCTTCCTCTGAATTCTGAAGTGTAAAGTACGAAAGACGTTACAACAATATCCGAATGGCATGCTTCGGCACAGCCAAATACTTGAAGGTTCACTTTCGGTTATTTATATTAATAGACAACGGGTGAGACTGCTCGAACTGTCCGGGGGGATGTCGATTTCTAATATCTAGAAGACCATTAACAACTTTTAATATCGATGAATTCCCATTAAATCCTAGCTAAATTATCCATCAGACTGATAAGTGGTTGCCAAACAACATATCGCTCCTCGCCAAGTTTAAGGACAACCGTGATTATCAGTATAGACCACCTAAGTTGATGATCTACAAGATCAACGCCTCTCTATACTCCTACCTACTGGGGTGGACCTTCGGCTAGCTTAAGGTTTCCTTATGGTTTTTTACCGAACATAAGTTCATACGGTACACTAAGTAACAAGCAGTAGTGCTAATAGATGTATTCATCTTTTAATCTCAAACATTCTAAGGTCATCGCTGTCATTCTCTGTCTAAAATGAGCTTTGCTTTAGAGAAAATCAGCGCCGTGAGAGCTAATATTATGTGAGCCTAATCAATAATCTTTTTAGTAACTTTCTGTGAATGTTCTGATACTGACAATATATTTTTCGACCGGGTGAATATCAATGCATGGACGGGGATAAGCGGTTGAACCCATTTGTAGTCACTCTCCTCTCAGTTGAAAGGCAGCGAAATGAAAGACTCGATAACTTTGGTATAACTAAAGTGTACCACATCGATAATTGTTCTTGTAGTCAAAAATGCTGACAAAATCAGCGTGCACATCAACCTGACTTGTACATGCATCGCATCATATCATTATGCCATTTGAATTCAACAATTATAAACACCGCCTTTACAATTTCCCACTATACCCATCGTAGTCTATATTGAAATGCGTAATTCGGTTTATGAATTTAACTATCATATTAGGCCTATAAAGGCATCGAAAGTAGTTGCGATAATAAAGTTATATAATCATGATCTAGTTTGGCTTTAGTACTGCTATAATAATAGACCTGATCCTAAAATTGTAGATTTGTCATGATGTGAATACCTAATCTACGAGATCATACGCGGAAGTCCCATCATTGTCCACACTAGCTCATCGCGTCGTAAGAATCCGAAATATAACATCTTGCACATTTAAGCCGAAGGGAGAATAATATACTTGGTGTGAATAAAGACAAGTTATACAGAATGACTACGTCTGCGAGGCTGAGACATGCTATCCGATTAACTGAGTTGAATCTCTCCCGTACCCTTGCTGAACTTCGTGTTAATTGCTGAATATGAATCTTCTAAACAATGATATGCTCAACTTCAAGGGTCGTGTGGTTAGAAATCGACACCATCACAGAGTCACCGCAATTTGATGTTACCTTGCTGCATTGGAATAACAACTTAACTGACAAATCGTCGTTAGTCAAGTAACCGTCTAACACAAGATCTTTTGAGCCTACTGCTGGAATAAATACTAGGTGGGCAAGTATTTCTGGACAGTAATTTGCAATGTAATAAAACAGCTCGAACCAATTAAAGCCATAAACTTCTGATACTTCCAAATCACCTTAAACAACATTACCCATTTCCGATTGGCTAGTTTCTAATCAACACTGTAACTAGTTATCCATAATGGTTTCTAAATGTCATAATTAAGCGCCGTCGTGACATGACAATCATGTAATATGATTAATAAAATTGGTAAAACTATTAGCCAAAACTCTGTCGATAATCTAACTTATAGTTAGCATTAAATAATGTTGTTTTCTCATGGTTATCTTTATCTGTTATCGATTATTTTGGTATGAGCAGCTGAGCAAACCTCCTGCGAACTGAAAACATTGCTGTCGAACTTGCCACGACACTGACACATGTTCATGCCATTACCATAGACATGAGTTGGGAGTTGTAATGACCTTGGTTACAACTTATGTTCTCCATGGTAATCACATGAGCAGCACCCGCTTTTTACCATTTCGCAAAGATTGATTCAGGCGAAAGTATCGTACGACACCCCGTCACTTATATTCGCAGTGCATGAGTTCATTTGATCTCAACATCATACAATCACTTTATTTCAGATAAGTCGATTCCTATCTTATGCCAAAGACGATACATACAACGAACGCGTATGCACCGTCGACTGGTAAGTATGAATATAAATAATAATTTTACTGCATGTCAAACATTAGTTCTAGATCATGTCTCTCAATTACCCACTCATGTTTGAATAGTTTCTGTTAGCCATCTGTTTGAAAATCGCATGGTTATCACAATTTTTGCGTAATATAGGCATTTTGATAATGACTGATGTGCATCAGTATTTTTAGTAAATCCTGTTACAGTTAAACAATAAGGAGGTCGAAAAATCTCTCCGTAAACAAATAAATGTTATTGAACCTAACAAGTAAACTGGAACATCGGTCACACATTAATCCATTCAGTTAGCCTACTAATGAACATGGAATTAGATATCAACTCATGTGGACAGCATACCGGCACAAATGTTAACTGACTTTATAATTTAAAACAAATATAATAATATCAACATTTCTGTAATGTTGATTAGTTTTCTAAAATACTTATGCCTCCCATATGTTAAGTTCTTAACCAACGGTGATCGC